AGAGTCTACCAAAGAAAGAATGTATGTTAACAACAACAAAGGTCCCTCTTCTGTGTTAACACAATCTTGAAAGAAGTATGTGGGAAAAAGAAAGTAAAAATCAAGGTAAAGAAGAAGGTAAGAATATGTGTGTTTTTTTTTCTTTTTTTGTATTTTTGAGACAGGGTTTCGTTGTAGCCTCAGCTGTCCTGGAACTCACTATGTAGACCAGGCTGGCTTCGAACTCACAAAGATCCGCCTGCCTCTGCCTCCCAAGTGCTGGGATTAAAGGGGTGTGCCACCATGTCCGGCAAGTGTTGTGTTTTTAAACCCAGTCAATTGCCTGTCTTAAAGGGATGACTTAAAAAGGATGGACTATAGCATAGTAATAATCACCTGTCAAGACTCCAAAGCTTCACAGAACCATCAGCAGCACAAGAGGCCAAGTTGACATCTTTTTGGTCCAATGAGACAGTGGACTTGGGATGGAATACAATTGCTCCTACGTTTGTGTTATGACCTGAAGTATAGGAGAGAAAGGTTAAAGGTTCTCAGCTCTTTATAATCTACAGGCAAATACAGACTATCATGAACGATGTGGAAAAACATATGTTAGGGAACACGAACAGACATGTAGAACAAACTATTCAACTACTAAAAAAAGAACTGTCTTAAGATTATTTTTATGTTTTAATTATGTGTATGGTGTGTGTACATGTGTGTATAAGAGTGCAGGTGTCCATGGGAGGATCCCCTGGAACTGGAATTATAGGCAGTTGTGAGCTGCTCAATGTGGTCTAAACCCAGGACCTCTGCAAAAGCAGTATGCATGCTTAACCCCTGAGCCATTTTTCCGGCCGCCAAAACAACTGTTTTAGGGGGTGGAGAGATGGCTCAGTGGTTTAAGTGCACTAGGTCCAGTCCCTAGCACCCACATGGTGGTCGACAACCATCTGTAACTCCAGGTCCAGGGGATCTGATGCCGTCTTCTGGCCTCTGAACAAACACTCAGATATATTAAAAAAAAAAAGGAGAAAACAAAAACAACCCAAACAAACAAGCCTGTTCTAAACCAATATTTGAATTACATTAAAAAACAACAACAACAACAACAAAAAACAGGCGGAAGCTGACACTTAGGAGGCTGAGGGACGAGGATATTAAGTTGAAGGTCAGCTTAGGAAACAATAAAATCTAGTCCCCAAAACTTCAAACCAGGGCCAGGTGTGGTGGCATACACCTTTATTCCCAGCACTCAGGAGATAGAGGTGGGTGGATCTGAGATCCAGGCCAGCTATGGTCACAGGGAGACCTTATCTCAAAAAGACCAAAAAAACCAACCAACCAACCAACCAACCAACCAACCAACCAACCAGCCAGCCAGCCAGCCAGCCAACCAACCAACCAACCAACCAACCAACCAACCAACATACCCCAAATCAAACCCAATCAAAAGAAGTAAAACACAAAACCATTGTAATTTTTTTGTTTAGACACTCTACAGAGTATGGCTAGACAGGAGGATGAACTACATGCATGTGAAGTCATGATTCTGGTGGAATGGCAAGACAAAATCAAATCATGTCCAATCAAACCAAGAATCAACGCTGTGATTACTACATCTTGGTGTCAGCCAGAGTTTTACTGAAAAAAAGTTTGCACTGCAAAAAAAAAAATGAGTCTAACTCACCTCGAAGAGTGTGAAGGAGGTTACAATCAGGAACAGACCAGAGCTTGCAAAGTCCACTCCTATCAAACACAAAGGAAAGCATCTCAGCCAGGGTTGGTCTGGGAAGGAAAAGGTACCTTGGTAACATTACTAAAGGACAATCTCTTCTTATCCCCTATACACTTTACAGCAGCAGACAGAAAAAGAAAAGGCTTGTAATTTGAAGGGTTTTAGAAGAGCACACTATAAAATGTCTCAGACAACCACAGGTCTCTTCTAGGCGACCATAAAGTGTAAGCTGCTATTCTTAATTTTCAGGTCAATTTTTCTGTCAGGGAAGGCAAAACAAATTAAACTGAATTAATAATGATAGTATCTTAAATTTGAGTAGCATCTTGCCATCCATAAAATACTTTAGATTTTAGCTTTCCTCTTGCACTAGACAACCACAATACACAAAAAAGCAAACATTTAAAATGGGGCTGGGGAGATAGTTCAGTCAGTGAAGTGCTTGCACTATAAGCATGAGGCTTTGAGTTTGGGTCCCCAGCAACCACATAAAAGCCAGGTCTGGTGGCGAGTGTCTGTAACCCCAGCATAGGGACACAGAAACAGGTAGATCCCTGAAACTCACTGGCTAGTCAGTCTAGCTGAATCAGTGAACTCCAGGTTCAGGTTCACTGAGAGACTGTCTCAAATAATAAAATCCTCACACTGACTTTGGGCCTCCACGTACATACACAAACAAGCACATACAACAGACACCCTGAAACCAAAGTTATCATATACTGGGAGTTTCCTGTGTATGTGATAGATTAATAATTAACATTTACTGAGTTCTTACCAAATGGTAAGCATTATCAAGACACATGTTTTACTAATGCTAGCTACCTCACTCCACTTTACAGATAATGGGACAAAAGCTTACAAGAATTACTTATCTTAGCCACATTAAATATCTAAAAAAGAAAACTAGAAGTTTAAGGCCAGCCTGGTCTACATAGTGAGTTCCAGGACAACTGGGGCTACAGGGAGACCCTGTCTCAAAAAGATAAAAAAAAAAAAAAAAAGAAAGAAAAGAAAACTAGATTGAAGTGTGAATAATCTTTGGTCTATAAACTCTCCGTATGACCTACTCCCAAACAGCAGAACATGACAGACATTACATGCCCTGGTTCTCTGGGGTCCCACGTGAGCAGTAAGAACTGAGAAAACAGAGGGCATGTTGCAGCTTATGAGCAAGCAGAGCTGTAACTCCTGCTTCATGAGCAGAAGGGGACACAAAAAAGATGACTAAGCCAAATCCTATTTTTTCCCTTGAACCCGTCCCCAATTTAGGAAAAATGTTACTGTAAAATGGAACTTACCAACAAGCTGTGGCCAGCATTTTGGAATTGGGACTAAAGTGACAATAGGAGATAGGCCGATCATCCCCAATCTGACTGCAGAAATTATTCAAAGACTGAAAAAGAAGAAACAAAAAAAGGCAATCATTACTAGACCAATGCAAGAACTCCTTGGCTTTTCCACTATTGTAGGGAAAAAGGAAAAAGAAAAAAAAAAAAAAAAAAAGGTTCAGCTCAGTCAAGCCTGATATAGCTGTGGATCTATTGATATAAATTAAATTGAGCTGTGGAAAAACCCAAACATGTTGTCTGTGTTAATTTCAGAGCCTGTTTATG